TAGCAGTAGTAGCAGTAGTAGTAAGTTCTCGTTGTAAGACTTCAGCAAGCCAAGCACTTATCTTGTAATATTCAGACCAATGTTCAACCATACGCTTAAATGCGCTAAGTATGGCAACGGGTTGTATTAGTGGCCGGCTGTATTCTGCGTACCTGCAACGGCCATCGGTAGATGAGCTGATGTTACTACGTGGCAGTACGTGGCAGTGCCTTTGCGCCCGGCATAGACTTCGACAGACACTGATCAATGATCTGGATGTGCGGTTTCGCTGCTGTGATGGCTCTCTTCGACAAGTACTCCTTTCGTCTTGTTGCCCCTATGCTTGCTGTCATCTTGACTTCATGACTTGTGAAGCCTGCCGAGCCGTTTGCAGGTTTTCATAAAGCTGGCCGTCGCCATCTTCGCTTCCTTGGAGAAGAGGATGCCAGTTGCTTAGTACAGGAGATTGGCTTTTCCGTCTCCGCATGGGGATGCAGATGGAAGGTCGTGTTGTGTTGAACATTTGGAAGCTTACTCCTTGTAGTTGGCACTCAAGTATATATGTCTAGCGCTTCGGCCCACAAGCCGTTGTACTGCAGACAGGCGAAATCGGCTGCATAGTATGTGGCCCTGGAAGGCTGGGACAGGACATCGAGAAGATGATGGACCTACTCTTTGACGCCAAGGCGCTCAGCGTTCGGTTACGGCTTCTTGCCCTCTTGCTTCAGGCTGTTGGCCGCAGCGTATGAAAGTAGGTTTATGGTGCACTACAGATCAGCAGTCATAAACTCTGCACCCCTATAAACCCTCAAGAGCAACATGAATAGACTCAGACGTTGTGCGTCTTTGTACACCTTGAACCCCGTAAACCGTCCTCCCTGATATCTAGGGTTTACAGAATCTGTTAAGGGGGTGATGCCAATAAGTTTTGAGTGCAAAGGGGGTGCCGGCGAGCTTGGAGCGAAACGTTTTCTTTTTGACCTGACAGCCATGCACTTGACTTTCCCAAGTACACTATAGACTTAACCTTGGCCGGCATGGTGCGAACTCCTCCTGACTGCATCGACTTATGAGTACACCACGAGTATGTCGGTAAAAAAAACATGCGTATATATATATAT